GATTTTTTAAATAAACAAGTTAGATGTGATTTGTTTAATTTACCCTTTAAAATAAAATACTATTAACAACCGGTAATCAAATGCCTTGTTTGTATTAGTGTTTTGGTGTAAATTAAAGGTTTGAGGCTAATTAGGGCTTTGACCGGTCAAATTTTTTAAATTAATTGTTTGGTAAGTGATGATTTAAAATAACTTGAATTAGAAAAAAATGCTAGTTATTGAATAATTCAAAATAAGATCTTTTGTGAATAAATGATTTTAGAACTAATTTTTAACATATTAAAACAATTAGTTATTTATAAAATAGTTAATTCATTATCAGCTAACAGTGTTTTGCTACGAAGCAACAATTACCTCGATAGTGGAGCCAACCTTCTATATACAACAATAAGTAAATCAAACCGTACCATATTAAACAATTTGTCAAATGCCAAACATTGCAAAATTGGAATAAGTAATTAGACTCGTTTAGAATTATGAATATCATTAATTAGCCATACGTTTTTAACAAATTTACATATTTTTATACTTAAAAGCGATATTCTAAAAAATTAACATAAATAAAAATATGGTATATGATATTATAAATGTGCATTTTGGCACGAAAGTACGACTCACTAACTATTTATCAGGTGCACAACGCTACAACAGGTACACGATATTACAACTGAGCCTTACCGAGTGGGCTGACCCAATAAGAACGAGCAAATGGCCTGGTTGAGATGGCCCACATTTCATAAAAGCCCAAAACTGCTCCAGACCATATTTCACACGCGAGCCTGCCATTTGGTTATCACAAATAAGTTGTTGAATCGTGAGCTCAATGTGAGGAAAAATCAGATATTCTCATTTCATGTGAATAGCAAGTACAGGCGACGAGCCTTTTATTTACATGCAATTAGACGAGACGACGTCGTATCCTTCCTAACAGAAAAACATACCGAACGACGTCGTCTTCTTTACTAAAGCACACACAGAAAAGAAGAAAATGCAACACGCGTTTCATTAAAGGAAAATAAAAGAAAACAAAGCAAAAAAAAGCAGTTATAACTGCATGCTAAAACAAAGCAAACATGAAAAATGTGTTCCATTCAAGCTTGCTACACGATCCAAGCTTGCTCTTTTCTACACAAGTCAAACATTATAATTAAATAAAACAACGGGTGACAAATGGGTGATTCTATTGTATAATAACTTTGTACTGGTTTGTCATTTAGCAGTATAAATGAGCACAATAAGAGAATTGCAATTGTCATTGTGCTACATCTGCATTAAAACGGATGGTCAAGATTGAATCTCACTAAAATCTGACCATGGAATCACCGAAGTACTAATAAAGAAATGAAAATTAAGGAGTGATTTTTTCTATGCAATTTTTCTCGATTCTTTAAGTGCAAACCATAGCTTTTAAGCCATGTTTGGTAACCAAATAAGCTAGCGTATAGCTTATTTGGTTAGCTTATAAGCTTTTTGTATTCGTATAAGTTTCATTTGGTAGGATGAGTTTTTTTAAGAAGTTCGAGCTTATCTCATTAGCTTCTTTGGATAGTTTTTCAAATAAGCAGAGCTAATTTTACCACAATACTTTTATCATATAAGCTAGTTTTTCAGCTATAAGGTATAAGCTCGAAAATCATTTATAAGCTGTCCATTTAGCTTCAGCTAATTTTACATGTAATGTAACTTGTTGGCATTCAAAAATCTTCCCAAATTCCCATCCCATATAACTCTCGTTCAAGAAACAGTAACACAGAGTTTTATGGCAGTCTACAGAAGGACTTCACAACGTACTTTTGAAGTTTTGTCATAGAACCTTTCCAAAAATACTACAAACACGATAACCAGAAATCTTTAGAACAACCACCATTGAAGTTCAGTCGAACGGTCATTTTTGAACCATTATTACGCTTGCCAACTTTGATGTTAGGCGGAACAAAAAATATTGACGAGTGAATACCATCTGCCAAACTTGCAAGTTGCAACTAAAACTACATATTGCTAAGTAAATATTATGGTTAACTCAATAAGATATTACATTTACGGTTAACTCAATAAGATATTATTTAAAATGAAAGAGAGTGAAAGTTGAATAGGAAAACTATATACTTCATCCTCAAGTTCAGCACTTAAACTAACAAAATATCAACAAGCCATACTTAACTGCTAAATCTTGTGTAGACTGCATACTTCTAACTTATATACTTCTCAGCCGATTAATCGGCATAATATCCCATGTACTAATTTTCCTAGGCTACGTATAATAATGGCTTCATCTCACATTGTTATAAACAGAGATAAGCAAAGAAAACTTCGATAACCATTATTGAAATGACTAAAGCAACAAGAATAAAATTGACCTACAGAATTTTTGTATATGTTATATATATATGAAGAAGCGCCAAAAGTACGCACCTTTAGCCCGTCCCATAATACTGTCGCTTGCTATGACCGAGCACAGAAAAAAGCATGCCCATCAGCTAAAACCAAGACATTATTAAGAAGTCGAACCAAATCCACAACTACCCGACCTTGAAGATGTTTTCCTCCTCTTGATCAGCCCATTAATTAATGCAATATAAACCGACTTATTCACACCCACACCCTTCTGAGTCTCCTCCTTAAAGATATGCATTGCATCCTTGTACCTCCCCTCGGCACAAAGCTTGTTAATTTTTTCAGAGCAATCCAACTCACTCGAACCCTCAACAACAACTCCATCTAGTTGCCCATCGTCTTTCCACTTCAAAAAAGGAATCTCAGTTTTACCCTCAAACATTCTCGACAAAAGCTCTTCAGCCTCCTTACTTCTCCCGGCCTCCCTAAGTGGGCCCGCAATGGCGTTAAACGTATATCCATCAGGCCCAAGTTTCTTTTCCTCCATCTCGGCAACTCGATCGAGGGCCTTGTCGAGTCTCCCTTCCTTACACAGTGCAGCTATCAACGTGTTGTACGAGACAGTATCGAGCTCTTTTCCTTGTAAAACCCATGTGTCAAAGAGGTTAATGGCTTTTTCGAGCATTCCCTCTTTACAGAGCCCCTTAAGAAGAATGTTGCACGTGTAGATATCAGGTTTGAACATCTCCTCGACCATTCTGTTTTGAAACTCGAAAGCTTCCTCTACATTTCCCTCCAAGCAGTATCCGTGTATTATGGTGTTGTAAGTGGTCTCGTCCGGGACTAGCTTTTTCTCCAAAAGCTCGTTAAGTTTATCAATGGCTGAATCCATTTTTCTGAGCTTGCAGAAGCCACTGATCACAGAATTGTAAGTGATTACGCTCGGGAGCAGGCCTCTCGACTTCATTTCTTCCCATACTTCTAACGCCCGCTCAGGATTTTTTTCCTCGAAAAAACCCACGATGAGAGTGCCGTAACTAACTTCATCCACAATGTAGCCTCTCTTGATTGCTGAGTTGAGTAAATCGTATGCATCCTCGAGTTTTTTCTCCCGGCAAAGATTGTGTAAGGCCGTGTTGAGTGTGACTGTATCCATTTTCAATCCTTTCCCGCTCATCTCATTCATCACTCTAAAAGCCTCCTTCAAATCGCCTATCTTATAAAACCCACTAATCAGAGTATTGTATGTTACACAATCGGGCGAAAAGCCCTTTTCCTCCATCTGCCTAACCATCTCACACGCCTTCTCCATCTTCCCTTCCTTACAGTACCATTTGATCATGATGTTATGAGTGACGGCATTCGGCTTAACTCCTTTCTCACGCATCTCATCAGCCAACTGAAAAGCATCCGAACTCCTTTTCGCCTCGAAACACCCATTGATCAAAGTGTTGTACGTGATCAAAT